GGGGGGGGGGGCAGAGTAACCGAAGAACTTGCATGCATATGTGCACAGCCCATGGACACAGAGAGCAGTGTGGCGAAGGCCTGGGTGGAGGGTGGGAGCAGGGGGGAGAGGTTCAGTGAGGGGGGAAGGGGGATATCTGTGATATCTGTAATACTTTCAACAATAAAGATAAAAAAAATTTTAAATCCCCCTAAGAATCTCCACCTCACACAGGATATAATTTAAAACCTTTAATGTCACCTGGTCCCTGCTTACCTTTCACAGACAACTCTTAGCACAGCAACTGGCATCCTAATTAGAACACTACAAAAAAAATCTCAGATGTTATTATTAATTACTTTCATTATTATAAAAACCATGGAGCATAGTTCCTGGCACATCCTCAACAGATATAAGGTGCCTTCTCAGAGAAGCAAGGACCCAAAGAGAATTCGGCTGGTCCACAAGTAATGGGATGTGAAGTCAAGGGCAACTGGAAAGAGCGTCCGGCAAAGCTTCAGAATGATGGCCAAAGTGATTACTTCACACGCCACCCAGGGAGGACAGAAAGGCACGCAGTAGGCACAAGGAAGCAGGGTAGAATCTAGAAACTCTGTAATGGAGCCATGGGGTGAGAAGGGGCCGGCAGGTGGGATCCGGAATTTGCTGAGGTATTTAAATGGAGCTGCAGAGGCTTCATAAGAACATTTCGCTCTCTCGCTGGTCAGGTAAAAACCACTCAGAAAATCAAGTTGGTTAGACAGTTGCTTTAGCAATGTAGGAAATTAGTTCCCAGTTGCCATCTCGACTCAAGGCTTGCTTTATGGTTCCTTAATGTTTGCCTCCTTCCCATGCACTTGTACTGCTAGCATAATACCTCTAACTTTGTTCTTCTTTCACAATATTGCTTTGGCTATTTGGGGTCTGGTGTGATTACATACAAATTTTAGGAATATTTGTCCTAGTTTTGTAAAAAAAAAAAAAATACCATTGGTATTGATAGTGATTAAACAGAATCTATACATTACTTTTGGGTAGTATGGACTTTTTAACTATGCTAATTCTTCCTATCCGTGGGCATGGTATATGCTTCCATTTATTTGTATCTCCTTCAATTTCTTTTTTCAGCATCTTACAATTTTTTTAGTACAATTATTTTACCTCTTTGGTTAAATTTATTCCTAGGTTGTTGTTTTTTTAATTCTTTATGCAATGGTAAATGGGAGTGGTTTTTTAATTTCTCTTAATGACAATTCATGATTGGTGTAAAAAACTGTAACTGATTTCTGAATATTAATTTTATAGCCTGCTATTTTACTGAACTCATTTATCAGTTCTAATAGTTTTTGTTGTTGTTACTGTTAAATCTTTAGGGTTCTTTATATGTAGTATCATGTGATCTGCAAATCATGATAGTTTTACTTCTTTCTTTGCAATTTGGATGCCTTTTATTTTATTTTCTACTCTGATTGCTGTGGCTGGGACTCCCAGGACTATGTTGAATAAAAGTGATGGAAGTAGACACCCTTCTCTTGTTTCTGATCTTAAGGAAAACACTTTTAGCTTTTTCCCCATTGAGTGTGATGTTAGCTGTGGGTTTGTCATATATGGCCTTTATTATTTGAGTATGTTCTCTCTGTTCCCAACTTGTTTTTATCATGAATGGACCTGGATTTTGTCAAATGTTTTTCTGCATCTACTGATATGATCATATGATCTTATCCTTTATTTTGTTTATATAGTGTATCACATTAATTGATTTGTGAGTATTATACCATACTTGCATCTCAGGTATAAATCCCACTTGATTACGTTGCATGATGTTTTTAAATGTATTGCTGAATTCAGTTTTCTAATATCTTGTTGAGTATTTTTACATCTATATTCATCAAGGGTATTGGCTAATATATTCCTTTTTTGTGGCGTCTTGGTCTGGTTTTGAAATCAGGATAACAATGGTCTTGTAAAATGAGCTTGGGAGCCTTTCTTCCTCTAGAATTTTTTGCAATAGTTTGAGAAGGATATGTGTTTATTCTTTTTTGAATGTGTCATATTTTTTATGGTTATTAATATTTACTTTATCACTGGCTCATTCAAAGCTGAAGAAAGAAGTGTTCCATTTTAACGTCATTTAAAATAGAGATGGAATTTCTGGCAACTTGCTTTGAACATTTTTCTCAGATACAGTGGTTGTCACAACAAAGAAACTGCAAAAGTCACAGAGAAAACAACTTTAACATTCAGAATCTGTAAAGAAAAATGGAAGGACCTGAAGGTATGATGACATAGGAACATGATTGGGTAGTGAGTCCATGTTAAAAATCTTGATAATTGCCACTTTACCCACACTTGTCACTAATGCTGGTAGAACCTGTAGAACAAGCAGCACACAAGATATGTAAAAAGTGAATAAAATATGGAGTCATCTTTAATGAGAAAAGAAATTTTTTTCGCCACTGCTTTGTGCAAGTAAGGATCTGGTTCTTATGTGTGTGGCCGCAGAAAAACAGGCCAGAGAATTTAGCCGCATGACTTCAGGTCTAATGTTACCAGAGAAGTCTATAAAGAGCTTTTTCTTGATGAGAAGGCTTGAAGTCTTCTCTACATTTTATATGAGAAATTGTGGAGAGGTCTAAGGTTAAACTAGTGATGTCCTTGCGTTTGGGATATGCCTTAACTCAGACTTAGTTGAGCTGAAGGTAAAAAAGAGATTTTCTCCTATCTTCCCTAGAGAGCACCAACATGAATTCACATCGGGAAAGCAATGTGAAGATTTTGTAGGTGTTCATGGCACTTTCTATTGCTTAGAAAGAGTAGGTGTCCAAGAACACCCGAAGAACAGAAGGAAAACTAAAACATAACCTGAGTCACCTGCAAATCTCACCTTGATAGGACTAAGTAAATCATAACTAGTAAACTAAACTCTGTTTGTGCTCCAGAATTTTTTACTTATGTTTGGTCTGATATAGCCATTCTTTTGTGAGCCCAATATGAGAGATACCTAGAGGTACCAAAATACAGTTGGAGCTGCGGTAAAGTCACCTACATCAGAACACATACAACTACAGGGTCCAGAAGCAAAGTGATCTAATGTTACTAATAGACTGTCCTGAGGCCCATAGTCCATGAGAGACTAATTCAGCTGTGTCTGGAGTTAGTCTCTCGGAAAACTAATTCAAGAGATAAGAGCTAAGCAACAGAAATCCTCCTCTGAGAGTCCTTTCCAAATCAGTGTTTAAAGGGCAGCTCCTCTAAAGGTAAAGCCAACAGGGCCAGAGATGCTCAGTGTGAATGTGGTACCTTGTGCTTCATCCAGAGTCCAGTGAAACAAATGTAATAAGGCTGGTCTTTGAAAGACACCTTGATTCTGTTATTTTTTTTAGCAAAAAAAAATGACAATCCATTTTCTTGGCGTGGACTGTAAATAAGTCATAATTGTCTGGTATGCTCTAAAATCGGAAAATAACACAGATTTCACAGACTCAAGAAGGAAGGTAGATTATTTGGGGTCTGAGAAGGCTTCTGTCCCAAAGAAAAGTCACCATTCTCCTTATTCA